ACTATCTCAATCAAGTTGCATTTCACTTAGGAAGCGAACGTTGTCCATGTTCTATTTCCCATACAGTTATCCAACACAATGTCGTCTGACTTTAAACAAACAAGAGAGGCCAAGGTCCAGTATCAATTCCTATCCCACCATTCCTACCTCATCTCCCAGCAAGTTAATGCAAATCAAAGCAAGCACTTCAGTGCGGCTGGTAGTGAAGCCTGTTCCTTTCCCAAGAGAGGCCTGTAAAACAGGACAGTCACTGACAGCAGTACAATTACTGACACAGATACAGACTTTATGGACATGTTTATCTCTGCTGTAAATCCATACTCTCTCTCCACTCCGATTCACGAGTCATAAAGAAATTGCAGATAATGAAAAAGTTGGGGAAATTTACAGCATGTCGGAAACCTCAGACAGCCAGAAGAAATTAAAGAGCTGACTAGGGATAAATCACATAGGTACAATTAAAATTTCCCGCATACCTCCTTCATTTCCAAACTGAGGCACAATCCAATGGAGCTGATGAAAAGTTGAGGTCATGACTCCTCAGGCTGTAATCATTTCTTAACTAACTGCAGGTTAAAAATTAGCCAATTCACAGGTCGTGTGTAAATGCTGATTTCTTGCTGCTACCTTGATTTCCTTCACTCTCTACTAGAAGAACCCACAGAGGAGGGTTCTTCTTCCCCAATAAATAACCATTCTGAAGGTTTCATTTGATCTCTTTTCAACGTTCCGAAGGAGATTTTAAAGACTGTTATGTTTGATACTAGAATAAGAATTACTTCTGGTGATACTTGTTTTTCAGGAGTGGACTGAGCTAATGGTCCCTACTCTTTTTTTTTTTTTTTTTAAGATTTTATTTATTTATTTGAGAGAGAGAGCATGAGATAGAGAGAGCATGAGAGGGGGGGAGGGTCAGAGGGAGAAGCAGACTCCCCGCCGAGCAGGGAGCCCGATGTGGGACTCGATCCTGGGACTCCAGGATCATGACCTGAGCCGAAGGCAGTCGCCCAACCGACTGAGCCACCCAGACGCCCCTAATGGTCCCTACTCTTAAGTAACCATCTCGGCATTAGCAGAAATGTGGTATGGCTAAACCTACCACTGCCTGAAACCATTCAACTTTGATTTTTTACATTCTTCCAGTCACAAAGGCTGCAGGAGGGGAGGAAAAAACAAAAAAGGCAAAATGAAACAAAACCCCCAGAATCTATAAGTGCTAATTAATGTGTAACCCTTGTGCCAATAAAATAAATTAGAAAAATACCAAAGAAATAATGTCTATTTCTTAAATAATGAGACTTAACAGAGCCCCATGATTAAAGGCTAGAATAATGTGAGTTAATTGTTGGCCCCCCTATTCTATAAGCCTATAAAATCGTCTGTAAAGGGAAAAAAAAGGAAGATTCTATCACATGCTACACTCTTTCATTTTCCCCAACTTAGATGAAACTAGCAGGTTTAAGAAACATCAACCTAAACATTTATAAGATCTCTCTGGAAAGCAGAAATGCAGAACACATATTTTTACCAACTAACATCTACATAACTGAAGCAAACCAACAGTGTCAGCAAAGTTATACACAAGTCAATACTAATCTCTGTACATCTCTGTAGGATGAAGCTTCAACCAAATTAGCTCAAATATGATTTTGAAATTCTGAGACCTGTTAAGAAATGAAAGTTAGCAGGGTTTGTTTTTTGTTTTTTTGAGATATGGAGGATGTAACTGACATGGTTTCGATTTTGTTCCTATTGACCCCTTGATGATTTCAGGTCCATTTTACACTTCAGAGAATCCACATGTCATTTTCATTTTATATGTTAAGATTTTACTCCCTATGGAATAAACATGGTTCTAAGGAAATACTGAGAGTTTCAATCCAGACATCTCTACCATAATAAACTTAGGTTATATCTAACTCATGGATTTCAAATCTATTCACCCATAAGCCATAAGACATGGTCTCTGGTCTGTTTTTGCTTATTTTTTTAAAGATTTATTTATTTGAGAGAGAGAGAGAACACGCAGAGAGAAGCACAAGGTGAGGGAGACAGAAACTTTAGCCAACTCCTTGCTGAACTCAGAGCCAAGGTGGAGCTTGATCTCAAGAACCTGAGATCATGACCGGAGCCGAAACAAAAAGTCGGATCCTTAACAGACTGAGCCACCCAGGGGCCCCTGATCTGTTTCTGCTTTTTTTTTTTTTCTTTGTTGTTTTTTTTTTTGTTGTTGTTGTTTTTTAAAGATTTTATTTATTTATTTGAGAGAGAGAGAGAATGAGAGACAGAGAGCATGAGAGGGAGGAGGGTCAGAGGGAAAAGCAGACTCCCTGCCAAGCAGGGAGCCCGATGCGGGACTCGATCCCGGGACTCCAGGATCATGACCTGAGCCGAAGGCAGTCGCTTAACCAACTGAGCCACGCAGGCGCCCCTGTTTCTGCTTATAATGAAAAGCTCCTTAAGCTTGGTGTCCAGTATCTTTTTTTTTTTTTAATTTTATAATTGTCCTCAGATTTTATTTTTATTTTTTTATTATGTTATGTTAGTCACCATACAGTACATCATTAATTTTTGATGTAGTGTTCCATGATTCATTGTTTGCATGTAATACCCAGTGCTCCATGCAATACATGCCCTCCTTAATACCCATCACCGGGCTAACCCATCCCCCCACCCCCTCCCCTCTAGAACCCTCAGTTTGTTTCTCGGAGTCCATAGTCTCTCATGGTTCGTCTCCTCCTCCAATTTCCCCCCCTTCATTTTTTTTTTTTTAAAGATTTTATTTATTTACTTGACAGAGAGAGACAGCAAGAGCAGGAGCACAAGCAGGGGGAGTGGGAGAGGGAGAAGCAGGCTTCCCGCCGAGCAGGGAGCCCAATGTGGGGCTCAATCCCAGGACCCTGGGGTCACCATCTGAGCCAAAGGCAGACGCTTAACGACTGAGCCACCCAGGCGCCCCTCCCCCCCTTCATTTTTCCCTTCCTTCTAATGTCCTCCATGCTATTCCTTATATTCCACAAATAAGTGAAACCATAATGATAATTGATTTTCTTTGTTTGACTTATTTCACTTAGCATAATCTCCTCAGTCCCATCCATGCTGATGTAGAAGTTGGGTATTCATCCTTTCTGATGGCTGAGTAATATTCCACTGTATATATGGACCACATCTTCTTTATCCATTCATCTGTTGAAGGGCATCTCGGCTCTTTCCAAAGTTTGCTATTGTGGACATTGCTGCTATGAACACTGGGGTGCATATGGACCTTCTTTTCACTACATCTGTGTCTTTGGGGTAAATAGCCAGTAGTGCAATTGCTGGATCATAGGGTAGCTCTATTTTTAATTTTTTTAGGATCCTCCACACTGTTTTCCAAAGTGGCTGTACCAACTTGCATTCCCACCAACAATGCAAGAGGGTTCCCCTTTCTCCACATCCTCACCAACACTTGTTGTTTCCTGTCTTGTTAATTTTTGCCATTCTAACTGGCGGGAGGTGGTATCTCAGTGTGGTTTTGATTTGAATTTCCCTGATGGCTAATGATGAACATTTTTCCATATGTCTGTTAGCCATTTGTATGTCTTCTTTTGACAAGTGTCTTTTCATGTCTTCTGCCCATTTTTTCACTTGATTATTTGTTTTTTGGGAGTTGAGAAGTTCTTTATAGATCTCAGATATCAAGCCCTTTGTTGTAGTGTCATTTGCAAAAATCTTCTCCCATTCCATAGGTTTCCTCTTTGTTTTGTTGACTGTTTCCTTTGCTGTGCGGAAGCTTTTTATCTTGATGAAGTCCCGAAAGTTCATTTTCACTTTTGTTTCCCTAGCCTTTGGAGATGTGTCTTGAAAGAAGTTGCTGTGGCCGATGTCGAAGAGGTTACTGCCGGGGCGCCTGGGTGGCTCAGCCATTAAGCGTCTGCCTTCGGCTCAGGTCATGATCCCAGGGTCCTGGGATCGAGCCCCACATCGGGCTCCCTGCTCTGTGGGAAGCCTGCTTCTCCCTCTCCCACTCCCCCTGCTTGTGTTTCCTCTCTTGCTGTGTCTCTCTCTGTCAAATAAATAAAATCTTAAAAAAAAAAAAAATGGTTACTGTGTATGTTCTCCTAGGATTTTGATGGATTCCTGTCTCACACTGAGGTCTTTCATCCATTTTGAGTTTATCTTTGTGTGTGGTGTAAGAGAATGGTCAAGTTTCATTCTTCTCTATATAGCTGTCCAATTTTCCCAGCACCATTTATTGAAGAGACTGTCTTTTTTCCATTGCATATTTTTTCCTGCTTTGTCGAAGATTATTTGACCATGGAGTTGGGGGTCCAAATCTGGGCTCTCTATTTTGTTCCATTGGTCTATGTGTCTGTTTTTGTTTTTTTTTTTAAGATTTTATTTATTTTTTTGACAGAGAGAGACATAGCGAGAGCAGGAACACAAGCAGGGGGAGTGGGAGAGGGAGAAGCAGGCCTCCCGCAGAGCAGGGAGCCCGACGCGGGACTCGATCCCAGGATCCTGAGATCACGACCTGAGCCGAAGGCAGACGCTTAACGACTGAGCCACCCAGGCGCCCCTATGTGTCTTTATGTCTCTTCGCAGATGACATGATACTTTATGTGGAAAACCCAAAAGACTCCACCCCCAAACTACTAGAACTCATACAGCAATTCAGTAATGGACAGGTTACAAAAACAAAGCACAGAAATCAGTTGCTTTCTTATACACTAACAATGTAACTGTAGAAAGAGAAATTAGAAAATCGATTCCATTTACAATAGCACCAAAAATCATAAGATACCTTGGAATAAACCTAACCAAAGTGGTAAAGGATCTATACTCTAGGAACTACAGAACACTCATGAAAGAAATTGAAGAAGACAGAAAAAGATGGAAAAACATTCCATGCTCATGGATTAGAAGAATAAACATTGTTAAAATGCCTATGCTGCCCAGAGCAATCTATACTTTCAATGCCAACCCAATCAAAATACCAATGGCATTTTTCAAAGTGCTGGAACAAACAATCCTAAAATTTGTATGGAATCAGAAAAGGCCCCGAATCGCCAAGGAAATGTTGAAAAAGAAAAACAAAGCTGGGGGCATCACATTGCCTGATTTTAAGCTATATTACAAAGCTGTGAATACCAAGACAGCATGGTACTGGCACAAAAATAGACACATAGTCTAATCCAGCATCTAACAAGAACCGTTAAACAGAGGCAGTTTTTTTGTTTTGTTTTTTAAAGATTTATTCATTTATTTGAGAGAGAGAGAGAGCACAACCAGGGGGAGAGGCAGAGGGAGAGGGAGAAGCAGACTCCCTGCTGAACTGGGAGCCTGACGTGGGGCTCAATCCCAGGACCTGGAGATCATGACCTGAGTCAAAGGCAGATGCTTAATCATCTGAGCCACCCGGCGCCCCGAGAGGCAGTTTTATTTACAAGTTCTCAAGAGGCAAATCATGTTATCAAATGAATATTTAAGTGAAGTCAAGAAACATGTCTACTGTTACTACTCTATGAGGCAATGATACCCCTGGATTAAGCATCAGAAGACTTAAATTCCAGTCCAGGTTTGCAAGTAACTAGGTGTGTGCTGGGCAAATCAATGAAGCTCTCTGAACAGATGAACCTCTGTCACCTTATTTGTTCAAATGGAAGTACAACTGACCCTTGGACAACAGAAGTTTGAACTGCATGGGTCCACTTACTCATGGATATTTTTTGGCAAATACGGTACAGTACTGTAAATGTATTTTTGCTTCCTTATGATTTCCTTAATAACATTTTCTTTTCTCTGCTTACTTTATTGTAAGACTATAGTATTTAATATATGTAACATATAAAACATGTGCTAATCAACTGTTTATATTATTGGTAAGGTTTCAGGTCAAAAATTGGCCATTAGTAATTAAGTTTTGGGGGAGTCAAAAGTTCTATGAGGATTTTGCGCCTGCACGGGGGGGGGTGGGTTGGTGCCCCAACCTCTGCATTATTAAAGGGTCAACTATAGTAAAATAATAGTGAGAATTAAATGAGAAAACACACATAAGAAACACAGCAGGCTCAAAAATGTTACTTGCCTTTCCCTCTTCATGAGACATGATTCAGATGCCTGGTTCTGTCATTAATGAACTGTGTAGCTGTCCTTAGTCAAGTCACCTAATATCTTTAGGCCTCTGTTTGTGCATCTGTAACATTAGAGGGTTGGGATTCAATGATGTCTAAGATCCCCCTCCAGCTCCAGCATGCCATGATCACCGATTCTGTCCCTAAGTTGCTGGCTGACCATGGGAAAGTCATTTCATTTCTTTAGACCTGTTTCCTCACCTTTAAAAATGGGAAGCTGACCCAACAGAAAAGTAGACAAGGATTATAAGAGGAAATTCATGAAAGAGGAAAACATGTGGCCAATAAACACAACTTTATTAGCGATCAAAGAAACACATGTAAAAAATATTGAAACATAGTTTTTCTATAAAATGGGCAAGTATTAAAAAGTTTAACAATATCCAGGGTTGGCTAAGTTGGAGGAATACAGTGCTTTCATTGACCGTTCTCAGAAATATGATTTGGATAAGTGAAGTTACTTTGTCAATATGTGTAAAAACATTAAATGTGCCATTCACTTTGATCTCGCAAAGGATGCTCACTGCAGCATGATTTACTTTAGTGAAAACACTGGAAACAACCTGAATGTCCACTAAGAGAGAATTAACAAAATATACAATAAATAATCATATAATGGTATTCTGCAGTCATAAAACTAATGATTTGATTATGTTTTCATGGACACTGAAAGATGTCCACAACGAACTAAGTTGAAAAAGCAGGTTACAGAACAAGAATAGCATGATGCCATGCATGTAAAATTTATATTTATATGCATACGTGTGTGTATGTGTGTACGTACACGTGTATAATACCTCTTAGAGATGTTGGAAGAACGTTCACTAAAATGTTAAAAGTGACTACCATTTTGGGATGCTGTGATTTTGTTGGATTTTTGCTTTCTTTATATTTTCTATAATGAATATGTATTGTTTTATAATGGCAAAAAAATAAAGCTCATATTTAACTTTTAAAAATACACACTACTGGGGCACCTGAGTGGTCAGATGGTTGGGCGTCTGCCTTCGGCTCAGGTCATGATCCCAGGGTCTTGGGATTGAGCCCCACGTCCAGCTCCCTGCTTAGCGGGGAATCTGCATCTCCCTCTCCCTCTGCCTCTCCCCATGCTCATGTTCTCTATCTGTCTCAAATGAATAAATAAAAATCTTTCAAAAAAAAAATACACACTACAGGGGTGCCTGGGTGGCTCAGTCAGTTAAGCGTCTGCCTTCGCCTCAGGTCGTGATTCTGGGGTCCCAGGGAGTCTGCTTATCTCTCTCTCTCTGCTTCTCCCTCCTGTGCTCTCTAATAAATAAATAAAATCTTAAAAAAAAAAAATACACACTACAAAAAAAACCTCTGTGGCTTTAACAATTATTTTCAGTTAGATAAGCAATATCTCTTGTTCTTACAGTCCCTGGCGTCTAACCATGTATATAGCTACATCATTAGCACTATAATGTACTTGCTTTACTTAGACCTTTGCAAAGCACTTTACACATACCATTTCTCATCTCTCTACAATGCTATATGACCTTTTTTTTTTTTTTTTAAGATTTTCTTTATTTGACAGAACGAGAGAGCACAAGCAGGGGAACAGTAGATAGAGGGGGAGAAGCAGGCTCCCCGCCAAGCAGGGAGCCCGATGCGGGGCTCGATCCCAGGACCCTGGGATCATGACCTGAGCCGAAGGCAGACGCTTAACCATCTGAGCCACCCAGGTACCCCTATATGACCGTTTTTATTTTAAAACCAAGCAGGGCTTTTACATTTTAGAACTCGTTTTCCCCACGCTAGATGTTATTTTGAAAAGCATAAGAAACTGCAAACTAAGATCTTTTAGACCAGAAAACTGTCTACTTTTTAAATAAGTCACTGTGTAAATACAAACAAATCTTATTCTTGGTTATCCTCCAAATCTCAATTAGAAACACTCATGCATTTAGGAATTCCACGCTGACGCTAGGAATACACTTAAGATTGCCAGAACTGAGGAAAAGCACAAGTGTGGTACTTAAAGCACACTGGATGATGGGGGACAGGATCTGGGCTGATTATTTGTTGTAGGATGGCCTAGATAGGCAAAGAAGAAACCAGTGTAAGAATAAACAACATTTTTTGTTTTTTCTTTTAAGGGGGAGGGGCAGGGGAGGAGAAAGAATCTTAAGCAGGTTCCACGTCCAGCACAGAGCCCAACATGGGGCATGATCACACAACCCTGACATCATGACCTGAGCAGAAATCAAGAGTTGGACACTTAACTGACTAAGCCACCCAGGCACCCCAAGAATAAACAACTTAATTCCTAAATCATGTTGAAATTGAAAATTTTGGTTGCCATTCTACATTAAAAGCATATTTAATTACTTCTTCATTTTCTGGTATATTTATTCAATTTAAATTGGAGAGGCACAGAAAAGGAAACACTCTGATGCAACATACAGGCACTCTCTCATCTTTCCACCAGTGCACAGACCTGCATCATCATCTGTTTTCCCCATCCTCTGGTTATGAGACAGTAGCTCTCTCTTCCAACGTAAGGCCAGCACACTTGTGCTCTAAACCCTGGCCCCTCCTTCTCAGGAAGCTTACTTATACTTCACCCCTTTTCACCTGTGTCTCCCATCTCTGCCACCGGAATTTAAACATACATAAGTCTATTGTCTAATAGCAAACAACATACTTCGACTCCACTTCTCCCTCTAGCAACCACCCTCTCTCCCTCTTAACAGCTGAACTCTGTAAGCATTATCTACATTTCCTATCTTCCACTCATTCCTCACTGCATTTCAAACTGCCTCTACCACCTGACAAAACTCTCACTCATCCACACATTCAACTGCCTACAATGTCTCCAATTAACATCCAAAGCCAAACTCCATGTCAACAACCAAACTCTTCATCTTTCCTTACGAATCTGTTCCTCCTCCATTGTTTTTTTTTTTAAAGTTTGGTGAGGTATAATTCATATATGAACTGCACATACTTGAAATGTTCAGTGTGGGAAGTTTTGACGAATGTATTCACCACTACTGAGGCAAAACACTTCTGAGTCCTGTGAATCATGAGATTTTTGCAGGCTGGCTGGTGGGACCAAGCACTAGTACCGGCCTAAGGTGTCAGCCGCTGTTTCCCCCAATCCCTCCAGGTGGTACTCTCTTCGGCTTCAAGTAGTTTCCTCACATGAATGCACTGATAGATACTCAGCTGGAGCCTCTAAGAGGACCGTCTGCAGATCTCCAGGATTCTCTCTCTGTATAGCCTTCTCCTTTCTGGAACTCTGTCCTGTGAACGCCAGCTGCCTTGGTCTCTCCAGACTCTTAGCTCTGTTTCTTCAACTCAGGGAGTTTGCCAGTCTCTGCCTGGGATCCCCCTCCCTGTACCACAGCTTGAAAACTGTCAAAGCAATAAGCTGGGATAATCACAGGGCTCATCTCATTTACTACCTATCTCTCAGAGACCACTGTCTTTTGTTGCCTGCTATCAGTGTCCTAAAACCATTGTTTCATGTATTTTGTCATTTAAAAAAATTGTTCCAGGTGGGAAAGCGAATCTAGTCCCTGCTATTCCATCTCAGCCAAAAGCAGAAGGCTTTCCAATGTTCTTTACATGCCACTGATTTACATGATCAGGGGAGAAATCTGGGACTCATTGTTGACAACTCTGTCTCCTTTTCTCATGTTCCACAGTAAATCAATCAAGACTTTGTCCTAAATCACTCTCAAATTCAGTGATTTCCCTCCCTGGCCACTAGGCATCACTTCTAGGCATCACAGTCTTGGCTATTCCAATGACCTCCTACTTGGTATTCCTAGTTCCTCTCTTGCTGCCCTCCAAACCATTCTCTACGAGGCCAGATGCTGAATATTGCTCGCTTAAGCCCTTCAATGATTTCCCAGTGTTCTTTGGATAATGTCCAAAACCCAAGAAGTTTTACATGATCTAGCCTTTGTCTACCTCAGCAGTCACTGTCTGTTCCAGGTATATTAGCCTTCTTTCAGTTCTGCAAGGACACTATAATATTCCTTCCCACAACCAGAACTGCTATTTCTTCTAGAAAGCTCATTTCCCTTTCCTTCACTCAATTAACTCCAATTCATTCTTCATACTTAAGTATCTTTTTCTCAGAACGATCACTGCCCACTTGACCTCTGCCCCACATTGTACTTAAAACAATTTATCAGCAATTATTTGCATAATGCCTTTTCTACGAGAATGTTAGCTCCGTGACAGCAGAAACCATCTCTCTTATTTACTGCTAAGTCCTTGGTACCTAGCACAGTACCCTGAAAGTACACAATAAATATTTGCTGTATGAATGTGAGATAATAAAAAGTAAAGATATTGGTCTCTGCTCCTGGTTCCTGGCACAGAGCTCCTAAAACTCTTATAATTTCCTAAGTGGTAAGACGCCTAGGAGCATCTTTTGTTCTAATATTTAATCTTTGACCCTAGTTCCCGATACAGAGTTGCTAAATCCCTTGGAATCTCCTGGGTGACAGCAGTGTCTTTTGTTCTAATGAGGTGACTCTTGGTGGGTTCCTGGATGGGGGCTGCTCACCAGAAAGACCAAGCCATAATTAGAAGCTTGGGATTTTCATTCATACCACTCCCTCCTCCAGAGAGGGAAGAGGGGCTGGAAATGGAATTAATGATTGATCATGGCTATGTGATTAAAGCCTCCATTAAAATGAACAAAGTACAGGGTTCGGCGGGCTTCTGGGCTGGTAAACACGTGAAGGTGCTGGGAGAGTGGCTCAACTGGAGAAGGCACGGCAGCTCTGTGCCTTTTCCACATACCCTGCCCTACAAATCTCTTCTAGTTGGATGTACATCTGTATCCTTTATCATATTCTTTTATAATGAACTGGTAAACAGTAAGTAAACTTTTCCTGAGTTCTAGCAAATTAATCAAACCCAAGAAGGAGTCTGTGGGATCATCTGATTTATAGTCGATCAGTCACAGGCACAAGTGACAACCTGGACTTGCGACTGGTATCTGAAGTGGGAGGGAGGGGAGTCCTGTGGGACCAAGCCCATAACCTGTGGGATCTGACAGTATCTCCAGCAAGTCAGAATTTAGTTAAATTGTAGGACACCCCGCTGGTGTCACAGAATTGCTTGGTGTGAGGACAAAAAACCCATAGGTGGTGTCAGAAGTGTTGTGACAGTAGAGCATGCCAGCAGCGTTGAGAGTAAAAAGGAGAAACCCAGAAGGAGTAAGAGTTGGTTCTCCCTACACAATGAATACTGTATCTTAAAATAACAGAATTTTAATGCTACCAAGGATCTCAAGGGTCTTCTAGTCCAACAACTTTGTTCTTCAACTGAGGAAACTGATGCCCAAGGTCACTCAGCTAAATTAATGATAAAGGTGACAGTAGGCAATAATAAAATCTAAAATTTATTGATAGCTTACTAGGTGTCAAACACCATCCTATGCATTCTTCTTACTGAGGTGAAATTTTTAAGTGTACATTTCAATGGCATTTAGTATATTCACAAGATTGTGCAACCACCACTTATTTCAAATTCCAAAACATCTTCATCACCCCAAAAGAAATTCCTGTACCCATTAAAAGCAGTCACTCCCCATTTCTACCCCATCTTCTTTCCTTTCTCCTGATTGGCAACCACCAATCTGCTGTCTCTATGGGTTTATCCACCCAGGATGTCTCATATAAATGGAATCATAACATATGCGACATTTTTGTATCTGGCTTCCTTGTTAGTATAACGTTTTTGAGATTCATCCATGTTGTACTATGTATCGGTACTTCATTCATTTTTATGGCTGAATTATATCCCATTGTATGTATATACCATATTTTGCTTATCCATTCATCTGTTAATGGACATTTGGGTTGTTTCCACCTTTTGGCTAACATGAATAGTACTGATATGAACATACATGTGCAAGTATTTGAGTTCTTGTCTTCAATTCTTCTGGGTATATATCTAGTAGTGGAATTGCTGGGTCATGTGGTAACTCTATGTTTAACCTTTAGGGAACCACCAAACTTTCCCACAGTGGCAACATCATTTTACATTTCCAACAGCAATGTATGAGAGTTCTAATTTCACCACATCCTTGCTAACACTTGTTATTTTCGGTTTTTAAAAAACTATTATTATTATAGCCATATTAGTGGGTATGAAATGATATCGATACCATTGTGTCTATGATTTGCAATTCCCTAATGACTAATGATGTTCAGCATCTTTTTATGTACTTATTGGCCATTTGTATATCTTCTGTGGAGAAATGTCCATTCAAGTCCTTTGCCCATTTTTTAACTGGGTTGTTTGTCTTTTTGTTGTTGAGTTGTAAGCGTTCTTTATATATTGTAGATACTAGCCTCTTTTTTTTTTAAGATTTTATTTATTTATTTATTCGAGAGAGAGAGAGAGAGAGAGAGAAAAACAGCATGAGAGGGGAGAGGGTCAGAGGGAGAAGCAGGCTCTCCGCTGAGCTGGGAGCCTGATGTGGGACTTGATCCCAGGACTCCGGGATCATGACCTGAGCCGAAGGCAGTCGCTTAACCAACTGAGCCACCCAGGCGCCCTAGATACTAGCCTCTTATCAGATAAACGATTTGCAAAAGTTTTCTCCCATTCTGTGGGTTGTCATTTCACTTTCTCGATAATGTCCTTTGAAGCATAAATGTTTTTAACTTTAATGAAGTCCAATTTATCTATTTTTTATTTTGTTGCTTGCATTTTTTTGGTGTCATATGTAAGAATCTGTGGCCAGATCCAAGGTCATGAAGATTCATACTAGGCATTTTATAATCATCATCCAATTTAATCCTCTCAACAACCCAGTAAGATAGGTATTATTATTACCTCCATTTTATAGACAAGGAAAATGAGTCAGAGAGAGATAAGTTGTCAAGTTTAGTAAGTATTAGAATAAGTCTGTTCCCAATGACCAGGCTCTTAAAATTCCCAAGCCAGTTTTTCTCTCCATACTCACAACATGGCAGCTTGTTTTTCTGAAAGGGTAATGAGGGAGAACAAGACAGAAGTCATGGTCTTTTTGTAATTTAATCACAGAAGTAGCATTCCATCACTTCTGCTGTCACTAGATCTAGCCCACACTCAAGGGAATAATAAGATCATGCAAGGGCATAAATACCAGTAGCAGGGATCAGAGAGACCATCTCAGAATCTGCCTACCACACCAGAGTTCTGTTTTAACATCACACATCCTTCCTGGGTGATCTCTTTCTCACTGATTAGAACCTATAAGCTGATGATGTTCAAAACTCTATTTCCTGCCACTAGATCCATACATTTAACTATCTCCTGGGTAGATCCTCATAAATTGTCCACACATAGACTTACAACTGAATTGTCCTTTTTTTTTTTTTTAAGATTTTATTTATTTATTTGAGAGAGCACGCACGAGCACGAGCAGGGGGAGAGGCAGAGAGAGAGAGAAAGGGAGAAGCAGACTCTCCACTGAGCAGGGACCCCAACACAGGGCTCAATCCCAAGCCCCTGAGATCATGACCTGAGCCAAAACCAAGAGTCAGACACTTAGCCGACTGAGCCACCAGGCGCCCCAAATAGAGGTACTTCTTAAGCTATATTTTGAAAAAGCAATACCTACAAGCTGTTCACTACAATAAGATAGTATACCCTTCCAAAGCTTTCTTTAAACCAGACAAACTTAGGCTTTTCAACCAATCAAATACAGATATTAATTTCTTGGATCTGACCTCTTAAGAATTCTTTTTAAAAACAAACCTCATAGGGCACCTGGGTGGCTCAGTAGGTTAAGCATCTGCCTTCAGCTCAGGTCATGATCCCAGAGTTCTGGGATCAAGCCCTGTGTTGGGCTCCCTGCTCAGCGGGGAGTCTGCTTCTCCCCCCACCCCACAACTGATGCACGCTCTCGCTCTCAAATAAATAAATAAAATTTTTTTAAAAAAAAACACAACCCCCCCCCCCACAAAAACCTCACAAAATGTCCACAGTGATACCAATGATCAGACTACTCTCCCAGGGGACATGTTTGTAACCATGAAACAGGGACTTAAAGTCATTGCTCACATGTTTTACATTAGCTACAGTGTATTCATTTCTACAAAAGGTCAATGAACTGAAAAAAACTATGCTGGACAGTAAGCCACTAAAGATTGTGTACAGTGCTTCAGTGATTTCCTAAACCTTCGCAACAAAGATCCCCAAACAAGCTCTTTTTCCTCAGGCTTCTTCACAGCAATGCATTTCCTTTTTCACGCTGGTTTTTCTTTCTAGTTGACTGGGGAATTTGACACGGATTCATTTTCACAACATGTAGTTCCAATCCCCATGAAGTTACTTTTCTTTTTTTAATGTTTAAAACTGTTTCTCAAAAGAAACCTATCTAGTAGGCTCAACTGTTTCTAAAAATAATCCACTGCACAGGGTAGATTTCTCACTCAGGGTCAAACTGTAAGGTCTATAAGCACAGCATTTAGATAAGACATTAATAATCCAACTGAAATCAATGGCTCGAGTATAATTCCCTATGGTTTCCACAACCCACCCAAACAACTTTTCTCTATTCTTATAATTCTCCATTGCTTAGATCTGTTGTTTCCATTTTATATTACAAATTTACTCTATATTTCTTATACTACTAACCATAATGGTTTCCATACACATTCGAAAAGATGTCTTCTGCTTTTATAATTAAGTGATGCAAGTTTTAATTACTAATATGAGACTAAAATCTTCCTTATTCTTTCCTTTCCAATCCTAAAATAATTGTATGCATCAACTCGGCTATTAGTTCATTATGCAAGTTTTTTTGTCATATGGCGCCCAAGTTAGTCAACAAACAGTTAAAGATGCTTTGGTTTTCAAGGAAAGTGGTTTTCTAAGGATTTTCACATGACAAATGATAACACATTTAAAAATTCATCACTCAGTAAGGTTGTCAGAAAACTTACACATCAAATCAGGAAACCAGTGAGTTGCAGAAAACACACTCTCACTTTGACCGTTCGAATTTTTTCTATTATGTAACCAATAATAATATTCTGATATCCCCACGAGGGAGAAGAAGTGGGGGAAGAAAAGAATTCAGCCAGCCCAAGTCACATATCTAGTAATTTAATATTTATTCCTAAGATACTACAGCTTTGACATCATAACCCAAACTAAAATGACAGGGGTGGCATTAACAAAAAGGGAAAATACTGCTAAAATGAACTACACTAAAATTCACAACTTCTGTTTAAATTGGAGAAATCTGAATATGGATTGTATGTCAGACAACTGTATTGTATCATGTTAAATTTCTTGAGTGTGTTAAAATTATACTGTAGATATGTAGGAGAATGTCTTCATTCTTTAAAAATAATGCTAAAGTATTTATGAAGTGTCATGGTTTCTGTAGCTAGCTCTCAAATAGTTCAAGAATAAAACAATAAACTTAAAATTATATGTGGAATGATAAAGCAAATGTGACAAATGTTAACAATTTGTGAACAGGTGAAGGCTATATAAGTATTGTACTATTCTTGAACTTTTTTTTAACATGTTATTTATTTATTTGTGAGAGGGAGAAAGAGCACACATGAGAGAGCACATACGTAGGCAGAGCAGCAGGCAGAGGGAGAGGGAGAAGCAGGCTCCCCGCTGAGCAGGGAGCCCGACACAGGGCTCAATCCCAGGACCCTGGGATCATGCCCTGAGCGGAAGGCAGATGCTTCACCAACTGAGCCACCCAGGCGCCCCTATTCTTGAAACATTTTAAAGAGATTTGAAACTTAACAAAACACAAAGTTGGGGGGAAAAAACAAACTGGTTCATTAACATATACCATTAAGAAAATCAAAAGGCAAGCCATAGGGGGGGATAAGATACTTACAATTTATATAACTGACAAAGAATGCATATCTGGGGGGGCACATAGGTAGCTCGGTCATTAAGTGTCTGCCTTCAGCTCAGGTCATGATCCCAGGGTCCTGTGACTGAGCCCCACATCAGGTTCCCTGCTCCGCGGGAAGCCTGCTTCTCTCTCTCCCACTCCCTCTGCTTGTGCTCCTGCTCCCACTCTCTCTCTGTCAAATAAACAAATAAAATCTTAAAAAAAAAAAAAAGAATGCATATCTGGATTATGTTAACAACATTTGCAAATCAATTACTAAAAAATTGACAATCCAATTTTTTTTAAAGATTTTATTTATTTATTTGACACACAGAGAGACAGAGAACACAAGCAGGGGGGAGTGGCAGGAAGAGGGAGAGGGAGAAGCAGGCTCCCCGCCGAGCAGGGAGCCCAACGTGGGACTCCATCCCAGGACCCTGGAATCATGACCCGAGCCGAAGGCAGACGCCCAACCAACTGAGCCACCCATGCATCCCGACAATCCAATTTTTAAAGATGGGCAAGAGATATGATAAACACTTCACAAAAGATGTTATCCAAATGGCCAATGAACATATGAAAAGGTGCTCAACCTCATCAGTCATTAGGAAAATGGAAATTAAAACTACACTGGGATACCATTCTAACTATTACAATGGTTAGAATGAATGAATGAATGAATGAATTTATTTATTTTACAATGGCTAGAATTTAAAAGACTGGGGTGCCTGGGTGGCTCAGATGATTAAGCATCTGCCTTCGGCTCAGGTCATGATCCCAGGGTCCTGGGATCCAGCCCCACATCGGGCGCCTGGCTCAGCAGGGAGCCTGCTTCTCCCTCTCCCTCTCTCCCTGCTCATGCTCTCTCTCTTTCTATCTCTGTGTCTCAAATGAATAAATAAAATCTTAAAAAAAAAAAAAAAGAATTTAAAAGACTGAGAATATGTCTGTTAGTAAGGACTTGGAGTAACTGGGTGCCTGGGTGGCTCAGTCGGTTAAGCGTCTGCCTTCAGCTCAGGTCATGATTCCAGGGTCCTGGGTCGCTGCTCAGTGGGAAGCCTGCTTCTCCCTCTCCCTCTGCCTGTTGCTCCCCCTGCTTGTGCTCGCTCTCTCTGTCAAATAAATAAATAAATAAAATCTTTATAAAAAAAAAAGGACTTGAAGCAACTGAAATTGCCAAAGGGCTTGTAAATTGGTATAACCACTTTGGAAAACTATTTGGAAATAGTATCTATTAAAATTAAACATATATATACACCCATAACCCAGCAATTCTACTCCTAGTTATACATAAAACAAAAATACATATGCCAAAAAAATACATATACCATGAATGCTCAGAGTATTTATTTATAATTACCAAACCTGGAAACAATTCAAATGTTCACGATTGGCAGAATGAAAAAATTGTGTTGTGTTCCTGCAATAGTATACTACATAGTGATGAAAATAAACAGATGACTGCTAAACACAATGGATGGATATCATAATCAAAATGTTGAACAAGGGCGCCTGAGTGGCTCAGTTGTTAAGCATCTGCCTTCGGCTCGGGTCGTGATCCCAGGGTCCTGGGATCTAGCCCTGCATTGGGCTCCCTGCTCAGCGGGGAGCCTGCTTCTCCCTCTCCCACTCCCCCTGCTTGCGTTCCCTCTCTCGCTGTCTCTCTCTCTCTGTCAAATAAATAAATAAAATCTTTAAAAAAAACAAAAAACCAAAACGTTGAACAAAAGAGCCAGACACAAAAGAGTATGTAACTTGTGATTCCATTTACATAAAGTTCAAAAACAAACAAAATTTTTTCATGATACCATGTCACAATAGTGCTTGCCTTTGGGGAATGGGCAGGTAGTCACTGGAGAAGCATGAAGGTGGATTTATATATTGGAAAGATTCTGTATTTTCATCTGGTCTGGGTCGTGGTCACAGGGAAGCGCTAATTTTCTGAAAATTCATTAAGCCGTAATTTGTGTACTTTATGTATATTATACTTCCATTTTAAAAAGTTTATTAAAGAACAAAAAATGATGTCACAGAGGAATATTTTCATATCTTGAATCTGAGGTCTCATTTTACTTCTCAACCAAAGAGCTATAATTCCATTTAAGATTGACATTCATTCAAACAGTTCTTTACTCCTACTGAACATTTAATATTAAGAGTATTGTTCTCCAACTACAAGAGAGAAAAGCTGAAAGCATAAAGCTGGACAAAATCTTGGCCAATGTTTGCTTATGAAAAGACATCTCTTTCACCAACTAAGCCATCTCTTGCCCCTGACCCAACAGGTTACCACTTTTATTCCCAAATTTCTACTTCTGGAAGAACAGACTAAGGATGGGAAATGAAGTATCACAACTTTCCCCTTGCTATTCATCACTTGCTTAAAGTGATCAATTGTTGTTAATGGATCTAGTCATTTTTATTTAGAAACAGTCCATAAAAGAGTTTAAAATTTTAACTGCACGAGAAATTAGGAGATAGACCTTTCAAGTAACTATAATTTTGTTTCTAGAATGGTATACAATTTTTCTCTATTTCTTTACTTTTTCTACTCAACAGAATAGAATGTGCTCATTGTGGGCAATAAGGAAAATACAGAAAAATTTAAACAACAAAAAAATCACTTGAGATAGGCATTAAAACATTTCTGGTCCTTATAGGGCAGAATAAATGTCTCTTCCTTTAGGGCAGAAAAACAAACAAAAAAACAAATTGGTGTATTTCCTTCCCATCATTTGTCTATGCCCATGTTCTCAAAACAAAACAAAACCAAAAAGAAAAAGAAAAAAAACAACAACCTGATTTTGTGTTCTGCATTATGATTTTTTTCACTTGCAATTATCCTTACATACAACGAGCAGTTTTCTGTAATTAAATTCTTTTCAATGCTTTAACATTTTTAATGGCCACATTGTCTACTGTAATTCACTTGGTTATTCCCCTAATGTCGAACTTTAAATTATTTCCCTACCATACATGTTGTACAATTAAACAGAATGCTACTTTGAAACCAACCCCATCCAAATTAATGTATGCCCTGCTTGCTTTCCTCTATCCTTGCCTGCCCCAACCCCCACCCCAAATCAGAAGAGAATAGAATACCACAAGCATTTTATGGTAAAATCCTCTTTGTGTGTAAAGCCATTTCAGAGGCAATGTTGGGTTTATGAAACAACTTGACTAATGGATAAAATATATGAATGCTTATAAGCCTTAAAGGTAATTTGAGGCTTTGTGTATCCTAATTTGTTAACCAAGGGGAAAATGAGAAATAATGGCATGTTTTATTTCCCATTACCATGATACGTTTTTAAAAACAAAATACTTAAGGCTAAACTGACAATTTCTAATTATGAAGAATAACCTTGATCCCTTCAAAGTGGGATTTCTAGATTTTATACTGTATTACTACCTAAATAGGATGCTATGCTAATGACTATGGTGAAATGGTATGACAGTGTCTGAAACAAGGAAAACAAAAGATAAATTTCATTTGGCATTTGAGAAGTGCAGATTATATATAACACTATCTCTAAGGTGCCTTTGCATCAAGTTCCCTGGCTTTATTTTTCAGGTTAAAATAATTTAAATTGATACCTTCTTAAATTTCCCTGTCAACAGATACAGTCAAGAAACATTAAAAAAAGAAGTTCATCTTTACAAGGAACAAACACTAAAGATATTAATATTTTGCCTACCAAGTTAGCAATGACTTTAAAAATTATAATACTTGGTGTTCACAAGGATGCAGGGGTAGGAAGTGCCTTTCTAGAAGACAATTTGGCAGTGGATCTCCTCTCTGTCAGATATCTCACAAATCTCCAGCTACATGTAAAATGCTGTCTTCACTTCTAGGAGGAACTGACCCTGTTGCTGATATAATCCAAATATAGCTGTTGATTAATAGATATATCAATATCAAATATTTGGGGCCAATTACTGTTATTTTAAATATATTTGGGGTACCTGGGTGGCTCAGTTGGTTAAGTGTCTGCCTTTAGCTCAGGTCATGATCCCGGAGTTCCAGGATTGAGCCCCATGTCGGGCTCCCTGCTCAGTAGGGAGTCTGCTTCTCCCGCTGCCCCTCACCCCACTCATGCTCTCTCTCTCAAATAAATAAATAAAATCTTTAAAAATAAAAAAAATCATTTATTTTTGAAGTATAGTTGACATACAATGTTACATTAGAGATGGACAACACAGTGATTTGACAATACTATACATTATACAATGCTTACTACGTAAATGTAGTTACCACGTCATCTCAAATTTATACTTCTGAAATTTTTTTCCAGTGAACAGATTTGGACATCAACTATATATAAAGGCCATACCAATTTCCTGAATAGCTACAGGTAAGCTAAGTGAATAAAATATCACTACAATGGAAGAAAACTATACAAAAGTAATCTATTCAACTGAGAGGCCTGATGATGTGCCAAAGAGTACTGTAAAGGGACTCCGCAAATCCATTTCTGAAGTATGGATATCTTGTTTCACATGTTTATTTCCCTGAGAGAAAAATATCTATCCAAAACATTACCTGTTGCCCAAACTAGACAAGAGTATTGCTGTCACTCTATTAGTAACATCCATCTATACAAATGGCTTTTACTTATTTCTAAAAAAAATTAAGGTGCCTGCCTCCTAAGAAACATTTAGAAGAGTTTGGTGATGTATTTAACTGGATCTCTCTCCTTCTTTTGAAGTCCCTGTAATTAGTCAGGCTCAAAACATCATAGTAGACTCTAATTTCAGCTTACCCCTTATGATCCATCCAGACAGTTACCTAGTTCTGGAAATGGTACAGCTGAAACATCTACTGCACTTCTTCCCATTCTCACTGCCAGCATTCATTCAAGCCCTCACCTCTTCTTGCTGGACTCCCATAATAGCTTCCAGTCCCCTGGCTCTACTGTTCCTTTCCATCCTATGCACCAATGCCTTCTAATGGTATGACTTTCCTACTCAGAAATCTTCAATGGTAGAGTTTTTAGTGACACAGAAAAACACTTAAGATAGAATAAATGAAAAAAAATGCACAGGCTAAAACTATATACTATAGTCTTCGGTTATGTTAAAAAGCATGTTTGTGTATATGTATGGACACAAGCAGAAATGTAAACACAACATCCATACACAAAGGGAAAAGAGTGGGGCAAAAAACATGCAGTGTTATTTCTTAGTGGTAAG